ATTGGGGTGAGGTCACTGGGGTTATCTTCTACTGCTTTTTGACCCTTTTGAGTGTATATATGGTTTGAAGTATCCTTACCTTGTTGACGCATTACCATCAGCCTTACTCATCACCCTCACCCTCACCCTCACCCATCACCACCACCACCACCACCACCACCATCCCTCCTGACCCAACATCACCAACCTTACCCATCACCATCACCCTCACCCATCACCATCAGCCTAAACCCACCACCACCAACACCCCTGACCCATCATCCCTCCTCACCCAACAACACCACCTCCCTTGAAATCACCACCATCATCCTTTTCCATCACCACCACCCTTGCCATCACCACCATCCACCCTTACCCAACACCTACCCTTATCTATAAACACCACCACCCTTACCCATCACCACCATCCACCCTTACCCATCACCACCCTCACCCAACACCCACCCTCACCCATCACCACCATCCACCCTTATCTATCACCACCTTCACCCAACACCCACCCTTACCCATCACCACCATCCACCCTTATCTATCACCACCCTCACCCAACACCCACCCTTACCCATCACCACCATCCACCCTTATGTATCACCACCCTCACCCAACACCCACCCTTACCCATCATCACCACCCTTATCTATAAACACCACCATCCTTATCTATAAACACCACCACCCTTACCCATAAACACCACCACCCTTACTCATAAACACCACCACCCTTATCTATAAACACTACCACCCTTACCAATAAACACCACCACCCTTATCTATAAACACCACCGCCCTTACCCATAAACACCACCACCCTTACCCATAAACACCACCACCCTTATCTGTAAACACCACCACCCTTATCTATAAACACCACCACCCTTACCCATAAACACCACCACCCTTATCTATAAACACCACCACCCTTATAAAAAAAATAAACACCACCACCCTTATCTATAAACACCACCACCCTTATCTATAAACACCACCACCCTTACCCATAAACACCACCACCCTTATCTATAAACACCACCACCCTTATCTATAAACACCACCACCCTTATCTATAAACACCACCACCCTTACCCATAAACACCACCACCCTTACTCATAAACACCACCACCCTTATCTATAAACACTACCACCCTTACCAATAAACACCACCACCCTTATCTATAAACACCACCGCCCTTACCCATAAACACCACCACCCTTACCCATAAACACCACCACCCTTATCTGTAAACACCACCACCCTTATCTATAAACACCACCACCCTTATCTATAAACACCACCACCCTTACCCATAAACACCACCACCCTTATCTATAAACACCACCACCCTTATAAAAAAAATAAACACCACCACCCTTATCTATAAACACCACCACCCTTATCTATAAACACCACCACCCTTACCCATAAACACCACCACCCTTATCTATAAACACCACCACCCTTATCTATAAACACCACCACCCTTATCTATAAACACCACCACCCTTACCCATAAACACCACCACCCTTATCTATAAACACCACCACCCTTATCTATAAACACCACCACCCTTATCTATAAACACCACCACCCTTATCTATAAACACCACCACCCTTACCCATAAACACCACCACCCTTATCTATAAACACCACCACCCTTATCTATAAACACCACCACCCTTATCTATAAACACCACCACCCTTACCCATAAACACCACCACCCTTATCTATAAACACCACCACCCTTATCTATAAACACCACCACCCTTATCTATAAACACCACCACCCTTACCCATAAACACCACCACCCTTATCTATAAACACCACCACCCTTACCCATAAACACCACCACCCTTACCCATAAACACCACCACCCTTACCCATAAACACCACCACCCTTATCTATAAACACCACCACCCTTACCCATAAACACCACCACCCTCACCCAACACCAATGTTACACATCACCCTACTCACCCATCATCACCACCCATACTCAATACCACCACCACCACCACCACCATGCTATCCTTCTTTCTACAAGTTACAGCCATTCCCCCATAAAATACAGTCCATATATCATATACATGATGTTATAATAATTCCAGTCATATTTCTTCAGAAACAAGCTGAAGCATTCGTCAGCGTACTTAATAAACAAACCCCCCTCCGATAAGTCCCCCTTCTGTGGTAATTCAGGGTGATTTTACAAGAATTAGAGAAGTCACTAGGCAACTGTAGGACCTATTGGCACACAGCTGAATAAGGGCGTGCCATTTCTGCTTTGAGCTGAACAACGAGCAGAAGTCCTCAGTGAATGGGGTGTCGGGCACGACAGTAACAGATAGACTAGCTGTCTTTGTATTGGTAGTGTGTGGAGTTATTCTGTTTGGAATTTAGGTGTTGTCAATTGTGTCATTTCCATAGACGTTATTGTTGCCTGATCTCTGGAGGAGTTGAGTGGGTTGCCTTCAGTGCAGGTAGTGTCCTTATTTTCATTTGATACACATATACTTACTGTTTATAAGGGCTCTTGGGGCTACTAAAGCTTATTATAATGTTGGATTGTAATCCAGAATGGTTTTGATTACTGGAGAACACACAGATTTTTTTCATGTTGAATATATTAAACTTTTTTCAAGTTACGGTTTAACATGTTTAAAAAGGTGCAGTAAACTTCAATTTATTTAGAAAGCAAAATATATTGATATAAGTAATAATGGACAAAGAAGTGTGGATTGACATCATTAAAGATGCTTGAATTAACATGATTAAGGAGAACTGAATTGACATGATTAAAGAGGCTTGAAATAAGATGGTTTAGGAGGCTTGAATTAACATGGTTAATGAGGCTTTAATGAAGGGGCTTTGCTGTACCAGTAAGTCTTTTTCACATTAATATTCATGCCTGTTTTCATCCCAGTAAAGACTTGATGCATCAGGTGATGTTTCACTTTACAGTTTGTTTAATATGCATCAAACACTTGTAAAAAGCAAGATCCCACAGGGGCAAAATACACAGACAACTACATACTTCTATCATAGTTTTGAAATGGCTTCCTTGCACATGACGAAAAATTGAAATAAGAAGTAAATATATGTCATCAACGTAAATAGAGATAGGTGACAATATTTCAACCTCTGGTTTTGTAGATCTTGGGATTAATGAAAGCGTCTGTCAACATTTGAGTACATGACTATTTGTGGAGTCTCTGTCAACATTTGTGGGCCTTTGTAAACATCTGGGCACATTTGTTGGTCTCTGTCAACATTTTAGCACATGGCTTTTTGTGGTCTCTGTCAACATTTGAGCACATGGCTATTTGTGGTCTCTGTCAACATTTGAGCACATGGCTATTTGTGGTCTCTGTCAACATTTGAGCACATGGCTATTTGTGGTCTCTGTCAACATTTGAGCACATGGCTATTTTTGGGTCTCTGTCAACATTTGGGCACATGGCTATTTTTGGGTCTCTGTCAACATTTGGGCACATGGCTATTTGTGGGTCTCTGTCAACATTTGGGCACATGGCTATTTTTGGGTCTTTGTCAACATTTGGGCACATGGCTATTTTTGGGTCTCTGTCAACAATTGGGCACATGCCTATTTTTGGGTCTTTGTCAACATTTGGGCACATGGCTATTTTTCAGTCTCTGTCAACATTTGGGCACATGGTTATTTGTGGGTTTCTGTCATGAGTGGGTTCCCATGAGATGCCAAGTGAGTGAGTGAATGAACAACTATTGTATAGACAGACCAGTGGATGAACAAGTATTGACCTGAGAGGCCAGTGGATGAACAAGTATTGACCTGACAGACCAGTGAATGACCAAGTATTGTCCTGACAGACCAGTAGATAAACAAGTATTGACTTGACAGACCAGTGGATGAACAAGTATTGACCAGACAGGCCACACAGGTCACACATGTCACACAGGTCACACAGGGTACACAGGGTACATAGGCCACACAGGTCACACAGGGTACACAGGCCATGCAGGGTACACAGGCCACACAGGGTACAGGCCATGCAGGGTACACAGGCCACACAGGGTACATAGGCCATGCAGAGTACACAGGCCACACAGGTCACTCAGGTCACACAGGGTACACAGGCCACACAGGGTACACAGGCCACACAGGTCACACAGGGTACACAGGCCACACAGGGTACACAGGGTACATAGGCCACACAGGTCACACAGGGTACACAGGTCACACAGGGTACACAGGCCACACAGGGTAACAGGCCACACAGGTCACACAGGTCACACAGGGTATACAGGCCATGCAGGGTACACAGGCCACACAGGTCACTCAGGTCACACAGGGTACACAGGGTAACAGGCCACACAGAATACACAGGGTACACAGGCCATGCAGGGTACACAGGCCATGCAGGGTACACAGGCCATGCAGGGTACACAGGCCACACAGGGTACACAGGTCACACAGGGTACACAGGCCATGCAGGGTTTACAGGGTACACAGGCCACACAGGGTACACAGGCCATGCAGGGTACACAGGTCACACAGGGTACACAGGTCACACAGGGTACACAGGCCGTGCAGGGTACACAGGCCACACAGGCGATGCAGGGTACACAGGTCACACAGGCGATGCAGGGTACACAGGTCACACAGGTCATGCAGGGTACACAAGGTACACAGGCCACACAGGCCATGCAGGGTACACAGGTCACACAGGCCATGCAGGGTACACAGCCCGTGCAGGGTACACAGGTCACACAGGGTCACACATCTCACACAGGCCACACAGGGTACACAGGTAACACAGGCCGTGCAGGGTACACAGGCCACACAGGGTACACAGGTCACACAGGGTACACAGGCCACACAGGGTAACAGGCCACACAGGGTACACAGGCCACACAGGGTACACAGGTCACACAGGGTACACAGGCCACACAGGGTAACAGGCCACACAGGTCACACAGGGTACACAGGCCATGCAGGGTACACAGGCCACACAGGTCACTCAGGTCACACAGGGTACACAGGGTAACAGGCCACACAGGGTACACAGGGTACACATGTCATGCAGGGTACACAGGTCACACAGGGTACACAGGGTACACAGGCCATGCAGGGTACACAGGCCATGCAGGGTACACAGGCCACACAGGTCACACAGGGTACACAGGCCATGCAGGGTACACAGGCCACACAGGGTACACAGGGTACACATGCCATGCAGGGTACACAGGTCACACAGGCCACACAGGGTACACAGGCCGTGCAGGGTACACAGGCCACACAGGTCACACAGGCGATGCAGGGTACACAGGTCACACAGGTCATGCAGGGTACACAAGGTACACGGGCCACACAGGCCATGCAGGGTACACAGGCTGTGCAGGGTACACAGGTCACACATGTCACACAGGCCACACAGGGTACACAGGTAACACAGGCCGTGCAGGGTACACAGGCCACACAGGGTACACAGGTAACACAGGCCATGCAGGGTACACAGGCCAAACAGGGTACACAGGTAACACAGGCCGTGCAGGGTACACAGGCCACACAGGCCGTGCAGGGTACACAGGTCACACAGGTCACACAGGCCACACTGGCCGTGCAGGGTACACAGGGTACACAGGTCATGCAGGGTACACAGGTCATGCAGGGTACACAGGTCATGCAGGGTACACAGGTCATGCAGGGTACACAGGTCATGCAGGGTACACAGGTCATGCAGGGTACACAGGTCACACAGGCCGTGCAGGGTACACAGGTCACACAGGGTACACATGTCATGCAGGGTACACAGGCCACACAGGCCGTGCAGGGTACACAGGTCACACAGGTCACACAGGCCACACTGGCCGTGCAGGGTACACAGGGTACACAGGTCATGCAGGGTACACAGGCCACACAGGCCGTGCAGGGTACACAGGTCACACAGGCCACACTGGCCGTGCAGGGTACACAGGGTACACAGGTCATGCAGGGTACACAGGTCATGCAGGGTACACAGGTCATGCAGGTCACACAGGTCATGCAGGGTACACAGGTCACACAGGCCGTGCAGGGTACACAGGCCACACAGGGTACACATGTCATGCAGGCCACACAGGGTACACAGGTCATGCAGCATATACAGGTCACACAGGCCGTGCAGGGTACACAGGTCATGCAGCATATACAGGTCACACAGGCCGTGCAGGGTACACAGGCCACACAGGGTACACAGGCCACACAGGGTACACAGGCCACACCGGGTACACAGGCCATGCAGGGTACACTGGCCATGCAGTGTACACAGGTCACACAGGGTACACAGGTCACACAGGCCATGCAGGGTACACAGGTCATGCAGGGTACACAGGTCATGCAGGGTACACAGGTCACACAGGTCATGCAGGGAACACAGGTCACACAGGCTGTGCAGGGTACACAGGCCACACAGGGTACACAGGCCACACAGGGTACACAGGTCATGCAGGCCACACAGGGTACACAGGTCATGCAGCATATACAGGTCACACAGGTCGTGCAGGGTACACAGGCCACACAGGGTACACAGGCCACACAGGGTACACAGGTCACACAGGCCACACCGGGTACACAGGCCATGCAGGGTACACAGGTCACACAGGGTACACAGGTCACACAGGCCATGCAGGGTACACAGGCCACACAGGTCATGCAGGGTACACAGGTCACACAGGGTACACAGGTCATGCAGGGTACACAGGTCACACAGGGTACACAGGCCATGCAGGGTACACAGGGTACACTTTATTTTGCCTTGGAATCCCCAAGAGAGAGAGAGCATAATTATGACCAGAGATGAACCCATGTGAAACAAGTTGTGGAGGATTGTTTGTGACAGACTCGATCTTCTACACTATGCTCCACACAAAGATGGAGTTAGAATTTAATCTTAGAAATCAGCTTTCTGTTGCACATAGATTGTACAGCTTCATTTGATTTGATCTGATGCACCACTCAGCTGCAGCCATCATGGATTCTTTTATTGACTATCCTCACTGTCTTGGTATAGCATGTGGCAATCTTCAAAGATTTCATGACATTTTCAGGCAGTCTTGTGAAAACCTACTTACAGACTTAGAACTCCTTTGATATTTGCCATCATTATCCAAATAGATAAGTTCATTGAAAAAACTCTCTGTATCATGGGGTGGGTTGTGTTCATGAGCTTATACTTATTTCATTATCTTGATGCAAATGGGATAGCCGTCAAATCTATTTGAACACTAGTTGAGTTAGAATTAGCTACCCTGTCAGCAGAAGCCAGCATAACAGCACATCATGGCTGCAGGGCCTGTGGGCAAGGCAGATTGTGAGAACTGAGTATGTAGCTTACATCATCCCGGATGATGAGGCCAACTGCCGATGTGATAATCTACACAGGCTATCTGAAGTCTTGATGGAGTTCAATATGCAGAGTGTGCTGCCTTGGAATAAAGAATGATCTCATAACTACACTGCACTTTATGCAACGCTTTGGGCTGAGGTGCGACCTCATAACATGACTTAGATGTGCTTTTCATATCCAAAGCTCAGACCCAACTTACAATTTCATAAAGCTATTCATCAATGCATGCTTCATGTGCATCAAATCCTCTGTTCAGTTATTGGAACGCTGTGATGGATCACCGTGTCAAGTCTGATACGTCATGGCTTCCATTCTTGCCTCTATCATGTATTTGCCAACTTCAAGCTCATATGGTAAAAAATGGACCAAAAATAGATCTTCATTTTGCCTGTGACTTTAATTTTTTTGCACCAAATCCCATTTGTAGGATAGAGCTGTGGTATGATTTACTGTTGCTGAAGAATCTACAATAATGATCCCGGGATGCACTTTGCCCACGAGCTTGTGAATTGGCGTGATCGATATTAGTTATGTCGCTGCCGATCACCAATTTAGGGCTGGCCCCTTACTGACAACTCCCTCCACAAACACGGTGATTATGAGAGAAATGAACTTGTTAGTTGGGATGAGGGTATTGCCAATGCATTCAATCGTATGGGAGACCGTTTGAGGCTTAGTAATTAAGGTTTAAACATTATGTCAAATTCTGATGTTTGAAGTTCTGGGATAACCAAATTTAGAAAAATTACTATTGTGTTTTGGACTGACTGTTTGGTTTACATGTTTTCAGGACTTGTATTACAGTTGGCGTAATTTTTCAGTGGGGTCAAGTTGATCTGTTTTGGTTCAACGTACCTATTTTGTGTGATTTTGTTGGTTAGGCTGTAATTAGTTTGATGGACATGATGGAAACCTGTACTTTGGTAGTTAAGTCAAGTTGTCTTGTGGACTGATACAATATTTCTAAACTTTTCAGTTTTGCTATGATTTGGTCGTGCTCGTGGCTTATGCAGCAGATGTAGTTCAAAATTAACATATCGTTTTTAGTTTCAACAAAATCAGTATATGTATTAACTTATCACTGGATTGTCTGTTCGGAACTCGATTGTTTACAGACTGTCTTTGTTTGGCAGGAATACCACGTTGCGCTAGGCAACAAACAAACACTTTATATGGAAACTGTGGGTGGGTGAGGGCTATAGGTAGATCAGGAGATGCTTACCCTTTTTGCAAACACCTGGTTTCATCACTGGCTTGCAGTGATATAGTCACATAATTTACACCACTAATTTGCCTTCAACGCCAAATGGAATCTGTATTGGCAGATAATCGAGACTGATTATTCTCTGGTGTTGATGTTTTATGGTGTAGTGATTAAATGTATTTGTTGGGTTGGGTCAGGTGGTAACAAGGCAGCCTTGTGATCTGGTCTCGTGTTAAGACGTCTGCTGGTACGTGTTTGTAATCACGGCACAACTTAAACAGTTTTATATGGGTGTTCTCGTGACATAATGTAAATCAACCTATTACCAGTATGAAGCAGTGACACGGGGACATTAAGAAAGTTAACGAATCAAAGATGGTGTAATATTTCAGACTAAAAGGGAATGAGTTGTTTTTAATGCTTGTAAACTTTTGTGTAACTGCATTGTTGCATAATGCATAATTCTGTCATCAGGTTGGTAGTGCATCTAAGTTTTGTTTGTTTTGTTTGTTTGTTTGTTTGTTGTTTAACACAACACCCCAGCAATATTACAGCTATATGACGGCGGTCTAAATAACTGAGTCTGGACCAGACAATCCAGTGATTGACATCATGAGGATCGATCCATGCAATTGGGATACGATAACATGTATCAACTAAGTCAGCGAGCTTGACCACCCGATCCTGTTAGTCGCCTCTATGGCAATCATTGGGTACAATGTGTGAAGACCATTTCTGGTGTTCCCGTCATGATATTGCTTGAATATTGCTAAAAGTGACGTAAAACCATACTCACTCACTCACTCACTCACTCACTCACTCACTCACTCACTCACTCACTCACTCACTCACACTCACTCACTCACTCACTCACTCACTCATTAACCATAACTCATGCTTTCAATCATGGGTTTGTTTGGTCCTGACTTGATTATTTTAAGACTGTTGTTATTTCTCTGATTGTGTTGTGAAAGAATCAGTCACACATCATAGTAAATATGCTGGTGGAATACCAGCATTTGCTAAAAAAATATTTCCGAAATAAAATTGATGAAACTGAAAAAAATAATTTTTGTCTCCGGTTTTACCAACTAAAACAAAAAATTGTCCTGTGAAACAAATGAGTTTTAAAAAGTACTGTTTGCCTCCTTTCAAAGACAGAATTGAATGTCTTGAGGCAGTGACAGCAAAGATGTCTAACATAATGTACATGAGAAATCTGGTACATGGGACTTTGAGTGGCATCGGAACACAAGATTTAAAGAGGCATCGTAACACAAGATTTGGAGAGGCATCGTAAAACAAGATTTGGAGAGGCATTGTAACACAAGATTTGGGGAGGCATCGTAACACAAGATTTAGGGAATGTTTTTATGTTTGGATTTGGATTTGAACTAAGCAGGGCATCCACTGCAATATAAAAAAAACCTGCATGACGAGTAAAAATTTATTTCATTTTCTAGATCTGTTTAGCAGGCTATTGTAACAGCCATTTTCCTTAAAGACGGTCAATATTAGGGATCATTTACTGTGATAACATCCTGTCTTTTAATTCTTAACTTACACCAAAGATCCATACACTACTTATCATGTTGAAGTCTCAGCCATATATTAAAAGACATGTGCCAATGCTGTCCAAATGTATCGGTTTATTTGTTAAAGAGAAGAAGAAGAAGAAATAGTTAGCTAAATGAAAAAAAATGCAACTTGATTCCTTCTTTGAATAAACTAATCCAGCCCTTGACACTTGCAGACCTTTCTGCAGCAGCTAAATACCAGAAGGTTATTGGAGGCAGTGTCATGGCAAAAGTCTATCAAGACAAAACTTGCAAATGCTGTTTTGCTCCAAATAATTTATGTGTTAAAAGCTAACGTCCTTGTTGCCTAGGTAACTAAAACATATACGTGGGATATTTTGCAAAACGATTTTCTGGTAGAATTATGAATACCAAATCTCTTAGAAGTTACTCTTACTGATAAGCAATTTGATCCACTTGCGAACCGTTTTTGCTTTTATTTTTTACGGCATTTTGCTCATTATTTTTTAGAAGTAGGGACTACAAGAAACTTCAATTTCATTAACGCGCTGACATTTTTGATGCGGTTCTTTAAAAGCGTCTGATGTTGGTGGTTGATGGTCTGTTTGACGAGTCGAGAGCCGATCGTATAATGGCGTTCTAGCATATTGATCTTTGCGTTTAGGGCAGGAGCTCTGTTATCAGACTTGATGAAAGATTGGTCTACAGAAGGCGACTCACTCCTCGCTTAAATATCCTTAGATTTGTTGTCACATATTGAGCTGCGCTTTGGGTTTGTACAAATATGTTTTGTTGGATGGATGATAGAATTAATAATTCATTACTCAGCTCGCTGGGCTGATAAGGATTTGCCTCTAATGCTGTCTGATGTTGGTGGTATTCTCCATTAGCGTGAATTTTAAACTCCTCATATGTGAACAATGCATGCCGAAAAGATTTGTTTAATTAACATGGCAGGACCAAATTTGAAATGTGATTTCTGTGAGGTGGATGATGGATTTTTCGATCAGGTGTACGACTATAATACAAGAGAGGCATTCTAAGTATTAGACATCATTTGGTTTACTTTGTATTCTATTTTTTCGGTGTTTCCAGAAATAAACTCTCTCTATCTGAGACTTTCCTAAGGCCATATTGCAGGACAACTGTCTAGGATTTGCTTAGACGCGTGTATCCACAACGAGGGCAGGTGGAGGGTGTAGCAGAACCACTAAGTTTGCCTCCATTGATCAAACATTTTCCACTGTCACTTATGTTTAATCGTTTCACTAATTTTGTCATCTACCAGTCCAGATAAATAAAGAATACATATTTTTGTGCTGTTTGCTTGTGGAGGATATGTACACTTTAGCTTTTTATTATTCTAACAATCAATATTTATTTTGTGCATGATCTTGGTACTGGATTGGCAGTGGTATGTGATGTGGTATCTCTCATGGTATGGTAGGATGTCTTGTTGGTATGTCAAGTGTTGTTTATTTATTTCCATTCTCCATTTCTATAACATTTTGAACCAAGATTGATGCTGAAGTACTTCTAACTATTGCCACTGTCTTCACCAGAACACTCTCCGTCTCTCGTCTTCGCCACTCAACCCTTCAGACACAGTCGTCGTGGGTTCTCTAGGTGTGGATGGGGGTGGGTCTCAGGGGTGGGACAAATCAATGCCCGACTTGACAGACTTCTTACACAAG